CTATCTTCTCCTCTATCCATCTTGTATCCGCCTCCCCCTCTCTCCCAATTTATTTCAGAACCCCCTTCCCGTCCCTCATTTCTGAAGAAGCGTCTAGGCCCGAAACGTCAGCCTTCCTGCTCCTCTGATGCTGCTTGCCCTGCTGTGTTCATCCAGCTCTACACCTTGTTATCTCAGATTCTCCGGCATCTGCAGTTCCTACTATCTCTGACACCTCAGAGTTTTAGGTAAACTTAGTGTTGAAAGGCAGCAAAGAAGTCCAAGTCTTTTTTTTTCCATGTTCCAAATTAATTCCATTTGCAACTACTCAACCTGTTCAGCAAGCACTTCAGTTTGTACAGAGTACTGATGCCATTCTGTGTTTGACAGTCTCAGCATCATTTGTTCATTAACTCTTCAATCATTCCAAAATCTGACTCCATCCACCTGATCTGGATGCGAAGGCTGATTTTAAATCTATTTCTGTGGTTTTTGTCCCATTGGTTAGCATGCAGCCCCTTCCCCTTCTTTAAGTGATGCTGTAGTGAGGACGTTCTGATCGGGTCGTCAGCCTTCCCTGTTGTTGTTCCTCTCTGCTGCTTCCTCACTGATTGGGCAGAGCTGTACAGAGTCTCTCTCTCTCTCTGTCGCTCTCTCAGTGCTGGCTGCTCAGCAGCTTTCTGCCTGTCAGGCACAGGGAGTTAACACTGTGTGATCCACAAGTTTCACAAGTGCACTTAATTGGCAACTCAGTCAGACGCTTGGTCCGCCGCTGAAATTCTCTGCGATTTTTCTCTCAAGGTAAGACTCCTGTCTTCTGTCAGAGTGCTTTGTGGAATCTGAGAGGGCTGCTAGAGGCAGGGAGCTACAGCCTCATTAAGAGGGACACATCCAAATTACTGCATGGAGGGAATTGCACAGCCCCTGAACAATCCTCCTCACTATATCTTACAATGGACCCAACCTCAGCTTACAGTTTAACATGCTCAGGGAAACAACATGTTTGCTCTTCCTGCTTTTAATTCCCCTCCTCATCGAAATCAGTCAAAGACCTTTGGGTTCAAGACACTTGCTGTCTTTCCCCTCTCTCCCAGACCCTGCCCTGTGATGGGGTACAGTGTTTCCCTCTCTCCCAGACCCTGCTCTGTGATGGGGTACAGAGTTCCTCTCTCCCAGACCCTGCCCTGTGATGGGGTACTGTGTTCTTCTCTCTCCCAGACCCTCCTCTGTGATGGGGTACAGTGTTCCTCTCTCCCAGACCCTGCCCTGTGATGGGGTACTGTGTTCTTCTCTCTCCCAGACCCTGCTCTGTGATGGGGTACAGTGTTCCCCTCTCTCCCAGACCCTGCTCTGTGATGGGGTACAGTGTTCCCCCCTCCCAGACCCTGCTCCGTGATGGGGTGCAGTGTTCCCCTCTCCTAGACACTGCCCTGTGATGGGGTACAGAGTTCCCCTCTCTCCCGGACACTGCCCTGTGATGGGGTACAGAGTTCCCCTCTCTCCCAGACACTGCCCTGTGATGGGGTACAGTGTTCCCCTCTCTCCCAGATCCTGCCCTGCAATGGGGTACAGTGTTACCCTGCCCTTCCAAGTCACTTCTTCAATCCACAGGAATGAGTCTGGGCCATGTTCAGGAACTTCTTCCACCCTGGCAGGTACACACACACACACACATATACATACACACACACACACACACACACACACTCATACACACACACACACACTCACATACACACACACACAGACTCAGACTCTCTCTCACACACTCATAGACACGTATGCACACACATACAGAAACATATACACACACCCACACAAACAGATATACACACAGATGCATAAACAGATATACACACATTAGACATACACAGATAGACATACAGACAGCTTCACTAAGACTTGCACCTAGATACAATAGAGGTACTCAGATAAACACACATGTACTGCCTCCACATGCCTACGACACATGCTAACACTAACAGTCAAACACACCGACACACACACATAGAAACAGATATACACACACAGATCCACACATGCTCAGATGAACAGATAGACACACACTGCTCAGCTGAGTGTTCTGCTGTGAGCAATCTGGAATGCAGGGGGTTTGAGGCTAAAGTTCAAGGTGACAGCAGGTATACGACTCTCTGTTATAGGCTCTGGCCTTTCCTGATCCAAGGGCTGTGAAAGCTCACCACAGGAGAAGGGGAGGGGTGGAGGGGGTTGCTGTCTCCCCCCTGTGACAGACCAGTGCTGGCTGGCTGAACTGCAGACTCTTCTCGTTCTGGGGGATTAATTCAGCCAACTTCCTGATCCGCTAACGGATGTGGTTTCTTCATTGTTTAATGACTGCTTAACCAACACTTGCAGAGAGGTTTCAGTCATATTACAATTCAGGGATGGTGCAACAGCAACAATTTGCTATGCTAATTTAAAGAGGTGGGACTATCGTGGGAATGTCATTGGGCTAAGCATCCAGGGCTTCAGGCTAATATCATGGGGACTTGGATTTGAAGGCTGAAGTTTGATTTCAGTATAAATCTGGAAATAAAAGCTAGTCTAACGATGACTATGTGACTATCGTCAATTGTCATTAAAACCCATCTGGTTCACTAACGTCCTTTAGGGAAGGAAACTGCCATCCTTACCTGGTCTGGCTTACATGTGACTCCAGACCCACAGCAATGTTGTTGACTCTTAAACTGCCCTCTGGGCAATAAATGCTGGACCAAGCCAATGCCAAGGATTAAAATCTGATTATGTGTCAGCTTGGTGTAGGATATCAGCCTCTCTGACTGGTCAGATAGCCAAGCCGCTGCCAATGGGGGTGGGTATTTGTCTTTGTCATTGAACATTAAGGGGTGATGGTTATATTGTCTCTTGTTGGAGATAGTCATTGCCTGGTCTTTGAGTAGTCCAAACTTGGATGTGGTCAGGTCTTGCTATATATCAGACACGGACTCCTCAATATCTGAGGGTGGTCCATTGCGTTTAGTGAATGAGACAGCACTAAATGTGAACTCAAATAGTTTGAATATACCATATTCAAATCTAGGGATAACAAGTGCAAGGAGATAACAAACACAAAAGTAGAAAGAGAGATTTGCATTTATATAGCATCTCAAATATTCCAAAGTGCTTTGCAGTCATAGAGTCATAGAGATGTATAGCACAGAAGCAGACACTTCAGTCCAACTTGTCCATGCTGACCATATATCCTAAATTGACCCATTTCCCTCTAAATCCTTCCCATTCATATCCCATCCTGATGCATTTTAAATGTTGTTATTGTACCAGCCTCCACCACTTCCTCTGCCAGCTCATTCCATGAACGCACCACCCTCTGCATAAAAAAGTTGCCCCTTAGTCCCTTTTATATCTTTCCCCTCTCACCTTACTCAACAAGGCCAAAGATGTATTTTTATAAAATGCAACCACTTTTGTAACGTAGGAAACTCAGAAGTTAAATTGTGCACAGCAAGGTCCCATAAACAGCCACGTATTAATGACCAGAGAATCAGTTTCTATGCTGATTATAGGGTAAATATTAAACAAGACACTGGGGACAAATCATCGGGCCTTGAGTTGAAATCATGGGGGGGCGATGGGTTTTTTTTAGGTTAACTGGAGTGATAGATGAGGGGATCTCCTGTCATTGAAAAGGTGGTGCCTATAACAGTATGGTGCCGCCCTGGTAGTGAAGTTTTCATCCAGTGTGTTCTAACTCAAGGAGCAGTCTCCTGGGCCACATCAGGAACCTAGGGTTCTGGAGAGCACTCGTGCACTGTGATAACACAGAGCAGAAATTCACCAAACATCCTCAAACAGCACCTTCCAAACCCAGGACTACTTCCATCTAGAAGGACAAAGGCAGCAGATACATGGGAACACCACCCCTTGCAAGTTCCCCTCCAAACTACTCACCATCCTGACTTGAAAATATATCACCGTTCCTTCACTGTCTCTGGGTCACAATCCTGGAATTCCCTCCCTAAGGGCATTGTGGATCAACCTACAGCATATGGACTGCAGTGGTTCAAGAAGGCAGCTCACCCCCACCTTCTCAAGGGGCAATGACTTAAGGAAGGCAGTGGTGTAGCTGTAATATCATTGGGATAGTAATCTCAAAGCCCAAGCTAATGTTCTGAGAACATGGGCTTGATTTCCCACAATGGAAGATGGTGAAATCAGGATTCATTACAAATCAGGAACCCGAAGTGAGTTTAACGATAACCACAGTTGATTGTTGTAAAGACTCATCTGGAAGGGTGATCTACATGTGACTCCAGGCATCAAGGTTGACTCTCAACTGCCCTTTGGATAATCAGGGATGGACAATAAATGCTGGCCCAGCCAGAAAGACCCACACCCCATGAACAAATAAATAAAAATGACATGAGTTAGAACACAGCACTGCCAGTGGATGTGAGCATGGCCCCTGTGTCCTATTAGCTTGAGTGTTCCTGCAGAGCCACTGTATTGAGTTATAAGGGTTTATTAGTACTGTCACTCGTATGTACCCAAAAATGGAGTGGGCCTGACTCGCACTGGAACAATGGGGCCTCTCTGGGCTGTGGAGTGTGTGACACCCCATAGTTTCAGTTTGCTGACTGTTTCCTCTAATGATCTCGCAATGTGATATGGAGACAGAAGGAAGTGCCCCTATCTCTTACTTGTGGTCTCTGCCTGTAAATCTAGCTAACATGCAGACACCTTGCTACTGCATTTATTATTGCAAAGCTTGTCGACACCACAGCAAAGGAAGGTCAGGTCGGCTTGTTGCGACAATGACAGGAAACTGAAAATGTCACGCTTTTGCGATGAACCAATTAGGGAGTATCTTGACTGCTACCAAGAAAACCTCATTTGTCTTAAACTCACTCTCGCACAAACCTAACTCTGAGTTTTCCTTTCTCTCCTGCCATGTTCTGTAGGATGGCAAATCGGATGTGAAGGCTCTGATGGCGAGGTTTGGCAACAAGCCTGCGGAGGAGACATCCTCCTTAGGCCCTCGGCCTGCCAGGTTCACTCCTCACGTCTCATCCCAAGGGAACACATCCTCAGTGGCCAGCAAGGCTGCTGGATTTGAAAGCTCTGCCGCTCCCAAGTTCCCAGCACTCAGATCAACAGGCTCCTTCAGCGAGAAATCCAGCCAAGCCGCACCCAAACCATTCCAGGAGAAGCCAGCTTTTCCCAAGCCGTCAGCTGTGAAAGCTCAGTTTGAGGGACTCAACAAGGAAGGCAATGATTGCAAACCTCCGTTTCCGAAGTCAGCTCTGGGGGTTAAACCTTCCCTGAACACCTTCAATGCTCAGAAAGCTGAGAAAGACGAGAAGTCTCCTTTCCCAAAGCCTCAGATCGGACTGAGGCCTACACTGGACTCGGCTGATTCACAAAAGGAAAATGAAGTTCAGCCAACCTTTCCCAAACCGTCTCCGTTTTCCAAACCATTGAATCCAGTCACATCCCATGAATCCAAGCCAGTTTTCCCCAAATCCCAGTTCCCAAAGCCCCTACCTAGTCACTCAGGCAATGTGGTTGAAGACAGACCCTCAAAGCCTGCATTCTCCAAAACTCCTACAGGGCTGAAACATTGGAATGAAGTCAGCAGCACGCTGAAAGAAAACAAGGAGGATGTTGTCAAAGAGGACACTGTGACTGGGAAAGGGGATGGGGCCTTTGGTTTGAGGTCCCTCAGACCCATGAATGAGCGAGGGAGATTCCTCAGTCATGGCGGAGAGGACAAGGCATCAACATCCTACAAGAACAAGAGTGAGCCCCTGAGGCCCAGTGGCTTGAAGAGCTTCCCTCCAAAACCCAAACAGGAAGAGGCCTCTGCTTCACCCTCAGGGGCCAGCAGTGTCCTGAAGCTGCAGAACCAGTTCCTGAACAAGGCGCACAGTCAAGAGACTGAGGTGGGACCAAAGGATCCAAACGCCCCCAAACGGAGAACCCTGCCTGCTCCATGGACCCTGGGGGCCCCACCTCAAAAACCCAACAGACCTCCAACAGTGAACTTGGACCTTTTCCGCCATCCCCAGGAGAAGGAGCTCCCAGCACCACCAGGTATTTCTCATAATCTCACTCGTTACTGTGTTGCTGAAACATACATGTATCTTGGCAGAGGGTAATGTTTAAAAATCTTGTCTTTTCAATAGGCATTTGCTAATTCATTCCATTGTGGACCTTTTAACTAAAGCCTCCTTCAACCACAACCTGCATTTATCTTATCCATTTAATGTAGCAAGGTTTCCTAAGATGCTTTACAGAGTGTTTCTACATTAGACACCAAGTCAGTTAAGGGGCTATCAGAACAGGGTGTGTCTTCAAGTACAGTAAAGAGGCAATGAGGGTAGCAGAGGAATTTCAGAACTTGCGGTCCGAGCACCTAAGATCACAGCCACCAATAGTAAGATGAGTAAGAGCGACAAGAGGCCAGAATTGTGGAGTTCTTAGACAATTGTAGGACAAAAAGAGATCACAGAGTAAAGAGGAGGAGGTGAAACATTGAATTGTAGAAAATAGGAGCAGGAGTAGGCCATTCAGCCCTTCGAGCCTGCTACGCCATTCAATATAATCATGGCTGATCATCCAATTCAGTGCCCTGTTCCTGCTTTCTCCCCATATCCTTGGATCCCATTAGTCCTAAGAACTATATCTAATTGTGATGCCTTCCGTTGTCAACTAGTCCCCCCCACCACCATCAGTCACTGTGTAAAAGAAGAATGATTTACAGCCCAACTGCATATTGGCAAGGGGTTGAGATCTTCAGGAGAGGAGTATACGCTAGCCAGTCAGGGGCTGTCGGTTGACCTTTCACCTCCAAAATCTCAAACAAGACCAAGGCATTCAGTTTATGCGGAGAGATTGGAGCTGTTGAGATTGCCCTCCATAAAGCGAAGATGATTACCCTTTTCTGATGAAGGGTCTAGGCCCGAAACGTCAGCCTCTCTGCTCCTATGATGCTGCTTGGCCTGCTGTGTTCATCCAGCCCTGGACCTTGTTGTCTCGGATTCTCCAGCATCTGCAGTTCCTACTATCTATGATTAAGAGGAAGTTAGTTAACTTTATTAGATTGAAGGAGGGGGATGTGAGGAGGTATGTTGGGGATCTGGAACTCACTGCCTGTAAGGATGGGAGAGACAGAAACTCTCATCACACATTGAAGAAGGATTTGGATATGCACTACAAGGCTATGGGCCAGTTTGAAGAAAATGGGATTAGGGTAGTTAGGTGGTTGTTTCTGCCTGGCAAGGATGAATGGTGTCAAAGGGTGTTTTTCTGTGCTGTAGCTCTCTGTGACTCTCTGGAGTCATTCAAAATAATGAATGGTTTTGGTAGACTGAATAAGGAGAAACGGTTTCTAGTAATGGATGGGTTGGTTATTTGTTTATTCAGTTATTTCATTCATACCCAGGCATTCACAGAGTAGTTGCTGAGGTTGAGCTGGTCAGACTGTAGCTTCTCAGACTGTAGTGGAGGACACGCTTCCGCGTTGTTTATGTTTGTGAAAGAAGGGGTTTGTCCTGTGCTGGGGGAGAGGTGTGTGGGGTGGGGTTAGGGGGTGGTGGTAGTTGGTGTGTAGTGGGAGGGGTTGTGCAGTGAACCTAGACTGTCTGCAATCTGCTTCACAAGGACCATTCTTACTGTGGCTACTCAGAGCCTGTCAGTCAACATAGGCAACCTGTTAGTGACTTCCCATGTCTCCTAGCCCTTGATACAAAGGATGTCCAAATCTAAAGGATTATTCACCAAAGGGCACAGATTTCAGATTGACAGAGAAGAACACAAGAAATATTTAGACCCAGGGGATTGTTCTGATCTGACTAAGCGGTGGAAGGAATCGGTGGATTCAGATAAACGCTTCAGAAAGGGAAAATGTTCAGAGGGAAGATAGAGAGGGAAGTGAGTAAATCTCAATGATAGCTCTTTCAGAGGGCCAGCATGGGAACAGTGGGCCAAATAACCTCTTTCTCAATTGTACCATTCAATGATTCTGATTTTGCCTGAACAAGATCAGCTCCATCCTTCCAGCAAGAAATTGAAACAGCTTGGCTGAGTACTTGGGGGGCTTCTTGTGGCTCTGTGCCTGGGTCTGGAAAACAGTGGCTGTTCCTGACTGCCCTCCTTTAGTGGTAGTGTCTGCGCTCGGGTGCTCCATAGAGAGAGACAACATGGCACTCACCAGCACAACAGCCACGATGTTTCCATCGCCTCAAACAACCACTCCATTTCCTTTAATAAGTTTGCGTTAACCATTAATTTGGCTTTTGTGACAGTATCCCAGCAGGAGCTGTTTAAGTATTTTGTGACTTTCAGTTTAAAGGAGTAAAGGAAGGTTTAATCTGTGTCTAACCCTGTGCTGTCCCTGTCCTGGGAGTGTTGATGGGGGACAGTGTAGAGGAAGCTTTTCCCTCTGTATCTAACCCTGTGCTGTCCCTGTCCTGGGAGTGTTTGATGGGGACAGTGTAGAGGGAGCTTTACTCTGTATCTAACCCTGTGCTGTCCCTGTCCTGGGAGTGTTGATGGGGGACAGTGTAGAGGGAGCTTTACTTTCACTTTAAAAGTTGCATGAAGCTTTACAGGTTCCTGTTGTAGATTTCGAGAGTGGAATGACGAAAGGTTGACAGTGTTAGAATGAATTACCATTTCCTATTCACGTCTGCCATTTCCTCCCATTATGATTCTAGCCAGTCCTAGCTGGCTGTTTCCTCCTGCTCATCTCACCTCCATGTGCAGGTGGAATGGACTGTTGCCACACAGGAACTGAGTTTCAGTTGTGTACGCTGTATTGTCAGGATCCTCACTCCCTCTGTGCTCATCTGCACCTTCCTCACTTGCCAACATGACCACTCCAGGTGTCTCCTCATGTACCTCCCCAAACACACCATAAACAACAGCCTTCCCAATTCCTGCCTGATCCCACGCTCTCTCCCCCTATCACTGCTGGCTCTCGTCAGTCTTCACTCTCTCCCGATCAATGAAATCCCATCCTTGTTTCCCAATCCCTCTGTGTCACCTCTTCCAATCTCTGAAATATCACACTTGCTGTTTTTGTGTATTTCTCTCTCAACTCCTGCATCATTCACTCCTGCCTTGTTCTAAACCTTTTCTCTCCACCTCTCTCTCCCCTACTCCATCAGTCTGACTCTCTCTCTCCCTCTTCCTTCACATATGATTGCAACTGCGGCCGCCTGCTCTAACGTCTCCTCTCAGCATTGTCCACTTTCTCCTCTGCTTGAGATGTTTCATTGTTTAATTGTCTATCACCACTCATTTATAAAGGAGGAGTTTGCAGGGTGGATAGGGCTGTTTCTGTCATTGTCTTTTCCGCTGCCCAGATCAATTCCAGGTGCTGTGCCTGGTTTTGTTATGTTTTTACAATGGAGTGACTTGCTTGGCCATTTCAGGGCCACCCACATTGCTGTGAGGATGGCAGGCTTCCCTCCCTAAAGGGCACTAATGAACCAGATGGGGTTTTACAATAATCAATAGCAGTCACATGGTCACCATTATTGAACTTAAATTTCATCATCTGCCATACTAGGATTTGAACCCATGTCCCTAGAATTTTAGCCTGGAATGCTGGATTATGAGTCCAGTGACATTGCCACTACAGCACTACCTCACCACAACTGAGTAGGCAAAGAGAGCCTTGGTTTAACATACAACAGTGCAACATTCCTAATGTACTGCATCAAGGTATCAGCCTGGATGTGGTGCTCAAGTGTCTGCAGTGGGACCATAACTTTAGACAATGAGTCCTCGGAGCAGAAATAAGCCATTCAGCCCATTGAGTCTGTTCTGACCTTCAATGAGACTCACTGATGAAAATGTTGCCGACAGCTGACTAGGAAGGAAAGGGGAGTATGGAAGAGCTGCCCGAGAGGATCATATAATCAGAATTCAGCAGGGAACATTACTGGGGAATAGTTGATAAAAACCGAAAGGGAGTAGTTGATGCTTGTTTTGTGTTTTCTCCACTTATAAAAAAACGGAGCAGAGCAGCAGAATGAGACAATGTCCAAACAATCTGTCCCTGTTGTTATTTAATAAAGTGTTAGGGGTTTCTCCTCCTGTGCCAGGCCTGACTATAGCTGGTCTCAGTTAAGACGTGGGTGGCCTTGCCAACCCCTATAAGGCCTGCTTCAGGGATGGCCAGGAGTGAATTATGTTTGGAGGGGAGTGTCACAGAATGAGAGTCATACAGCAGGGCAGGAGTCCTTTGGCCCATTGAGACCGCAATGCTGGATAGCCTCTGTGGGGATTGATGAAGCAGAGAGAAGCCGGGCAGTGTTCTGCTGTGCTTCCTCTTCCTGACTTACTCTCTCTCTACCCCATCCTGTCTCACTCTCTCTCTCTCCACCCCATCCTCTCTCTCTCTCTCTCTCCACCGCATCCTCTATCTCCATCTCGCTCTTTCTCTCTCACTCCCCAATCTTTCCCTCTATCCCCTTCTCTCCCCAACTCTCCCTCTTATTTGTCTCTGCGCACTCTCTCTCTCTCCCTCATCCCCATCTCTCTCTATCTCCTTCCCTATCCTCTCGGTCTCTCTTTCTCCTCCTCTCTTCCAAACCCCACACCTCATTGTTAACAAGTGCAGCAGAAAACAGGGCGCAAACAGGAAGAGGCAGCATTCAGCTTTTGTCTGCAGACAGCAGTGAAATAAGTCGAGAAAGGATTCTGTTACAATCGTAGAACCCTGGAAATGTATGACACAGAGGAGGTCATTTGGCCCATCATGTCCATGCTGAATAATTAGCCATGTAATTTCACCTCTCTCAGTTCCTGATCGAGATTCTTGAAGGTTATGGATTTCAAGTGACTATCAAACTTTTTTAAAAAATAATTTCAGTATTTCTTTCTCAAACATCCTTCAGGCAATTAGTTCCAGGCCCCTAGGAAATTTCTCTCCACTCTCCTCGACTTTGTTCTGATCCTGCTGCTAATTCCTTAAAATGGTTACTGGCCATTTTGCTTATAAACATTGATCCCTACAGTCCACTAAACCACTCTATCAAGAATGGCCTTGATTTTACACATTCTGATTAAATGTCTCATCAGGT